ATGTAACTTACAGAAACTACGCTTCCGAGCGGTCTCGGGCGCAGATTAGTCGTAATCTCGGCGCATTGCACTCTCTGCAGATCCACTCCTCCTCCTTTTCCACCTTCTCCTCCTCCTCCTCTCTTCCTCTTACCATTTATGTTCGCTCGTGAGAAAGAGGAAGAGGAAGAGAGAAGGGTAAGAGAAAGAGTACCCTATCGACGTCTCCTCCTCCTCCTCCTCTTCCTCCTCCTTCTCCTCTTTTGCGACCTTCCTCGAGCTTCCTTCGTGTGTTACACCTCGAAGTCGCACCGATATAACACACAGAGGTAGGTAACTCGTAACTTCCAACACATAGAACACGTAGCCAGCTTAGTCGGTGCTTATATCGCCGCTTTGATTATTTCCTAGAGGCTTAAGCCAAGTCTACGCCCTCGCTGCTCGGCTCGCTGCTATCAACGGGTTACAACCGCGGCGAAGATTAAACGCTTTCTCGATTTACGAGTCCGCGGTGGTATCCCTTAGCCTTCGGCTTCGGCTTCGGCTTTTCTTTAAGGAACATGCYTTGATTTATATATGTGTATATATATAGGTATATTTAGCACCTCTCTATTGGTCGATGTTAAATGTTAGCAATTGATGTCTTCATATTTCTCAATATGTTTTTCTTTATTGAAGAAAAATATATTGAAATATTTTAGTTGTTTTTCTTCTTTTTTTTTACTATTAATTTATTCGATAAAATTAATATCAAGATTAGAATTTAAATTTCGCGACAGAGAGAGTCTATGATAGCAACGCCGCAGGTTAGTAGCTATATCGAACAAACAAGGTAAATAGGATATTTGTTCGTTGGTGATAAACGAGGAGTCGCGTATATAATACCTGTAATAACTACTAGTTAACAACCATTTTGCAATATAAGTGTTATATATCGATTATTAACGTAGTTTCGCACGTAGAAAATGTGTTAAAGCATGTCACGTTTATAAGTAATTTAGATTTTTCAATTTTGTTGTTTTTTTTATTATTAAGGGTTATTACCACCACTCTAGAATTTATAAAATATTTTTAAAATAAAAATAATGACGGAGAAAAATCAAGACTACAAGGAAAGTAAAAAAATTGATAGAACGTTTCACGTGAAACGTTATTGTAATATGAAAGATCCAGTGACTTCTGACAAAATTAGGTATACGTTAATGAGCGTTAATTAAGTATCTTTTTTTTTGAATAAATAGAAAATCCTTAAAAACATTTTTGTAAATTTTAGTAAAGAGGTGATAAAAACCGAACGAGAGACAGAACGGAAATGGTTGGCAAGATACGAATGTTTGTCCAGTGAATATTTTCAAAAGGTACCATAAAAATACTCGTGCGTATAATCGTGCGGCCGACCAGTCACGAATTTCAACGAGTTCCAATGCCACTGACCGCAGGTGCTGGCCGAAGAATGCAGAAAAGCGGCACTTCCGGCGGATACTTTCAAGCGAAAACCGCCGGAAGACCCGACTAAATGTTCACCAATTCCCTTGAAACCTTCACCAGCCGTTCCCAGAACGGCGTCCGCAATGGTCGGCTGGAGATCTTCTCGTATGGAATACAATCTAGAATGCACCGGCCCTATGTATATTTCACCAAAATGGACCATTCGTTCTTACACGGAAATAGAAAATTATCTAGCGCAACAAAAATTCATTTTTCTTGGTTGAATGTATATATACATTATGAATGTGTGTAGGTATATACGTGCTAGTAATTACGACAATGTAATAAGTTAAACTATTTTAAAAATTGATTTTTTATTTTACAATTATTTATATCATAAAATAAATAAAACAAAATAATTCTTTTGATTTATTCACTCAATCAACTGATCATCTGTCATACTAATTACTGCAACGAATGTTCAATTCTTGTTTGTATATATATAAAGATTTCAATTAATAACAAGATGAATATGTAACAGTAAGTGTCAGTAATGAGATAAAATTTGAAATATAGATACAATTATTATGCTATTGCATATGTGTAAATGCATTTTGAATTGTCGAAAAGTTTTATAAAAAATGATATTTTTAATTTTACTATACCGGTGGTTTTCATGGATTTCTTTTCTATTTACATGCCGTACCACTTTTGTTTTAGCGGGGGTGGTAATTTTTCAATCAATGTCATTGGATTTACTTCAACCGCGACCATTTCTTCGTCATTCAACCAGTTTAAATAGACAAGATGCTGTAAAAAAAAACATACATAATTTCTTGTAAGACAATAACGTAATAAGGGATTAATTAAAATTAAAATGAAAAATTACCTTATACTTTTTAGCAACTTTGAAAGCATGTTGCGATTGTGAACTCAATGCAGAGCAGCTATCTTCCGTAGTATCGTCATTTTCACACTTTGGTATTTTCGTTTCTTTTTCCAACGATTCATTTTCTTTATTTATTATATATACGTTAGAATCATCGTGCATGATTATAATATTCTCATTGTATGGATCGAAAGAAATGTTTATTATCGGAAACCGACGTGCCAACCATTGCTTCGGAATACGACTTTGTAAATTATTTGAAAATTGAGTGTACTGTTTTTTAAGTAAATTATATTCGACGATCTAAAAATATAATGTTCAATATGAGATCAAGGTTATGTTATATTTTAAAGTTAAATTTATATATAATATAAGCTTTTAAGCTTACACTTCTTACCTTATGATCAGAGTATACAATGACGAGATTTAAAGTGTCTTTATGTACAGCCATTGCTGTTGGTGGACAACTATATTTAGGCAATCGCCATGGTTTAAGAGATTCTTGTGTAAGATCTCCATTAACTGTATACACTGCAATACTACCTTTACGGTCAGAACATATTAAATATTGATTATCCGGTGAAAAACATACTAAATTAACATTTACGATAGACTCATTCATCGTATGGAATGATCCAATGTGCCTTAAACTTTTTTTACTTAATTTATATAATGTTACTATGTTCTCTTTTCCATCATTGTTAATTGTAGCTAATAAGTTACCATTTGGACTGAACAACATTTTTTGTATTCTTTTTACAGTTATATCAATATCGTTCCGTGATAATATTGCATCTCCCTGCACTACGTCAAAGTTGAATACTCTGACATGAGTATCAGTTGAATACACTATAGTTTTCGAATCCTTACTAATAGCATAGGATAAAATACTTTCACCTCCTTTAGTTCTAAGTTCTAATAATTTTATCGGTTCGTTGTCTAATTGATGTAACATGCCAACTTTTACAGATTCTGAAGCAGTTTTGACAGAAGATCCTAATCTCCATAGTTCAAGATAATTCGAATAACACAACAATACACATCTGGACTTTTTACATAAAACAACAGAAGGTGGCTGAAGTAAGGGTGGATACTTGACAAGTACCTTCGGAGGATAACTCGATTCACATAAATATCCATCGACTCCAGCAGAATATAATTTACCATGAGCATCTACTAAAGCTCTAACATCGTGGGAATGTATTCTTCTTTCTACTCCTTTGACCCAATATGACTTTCCACTGGACTTAACATTAATTTTACTAAAACTTCTTACAACTGGATCAACTCCTGCACAATATACAGTATTCTTTTCATGAGACAATGTGACTGCCAATATATCAGCAGCATGACTTTCATGAGACTCGATTAAAGTACCCATATAAGGATCCCAAAAAGATAAAAATCCACGAGAGTCGCCAGAAATAATTAAATTGTCATCTGTTACTTCAAGACACCACACAATAGTATCTTTTCTTATTTCTTTTCTAGATGTAGTCATTTTATGAATTGCATGTCCTGAAACGGTACTCCAAACTCTCACTGTATCCGTTGATCCAGTAAATATCATTTCTCCTGTATTATCCCATTTAATACATAGAATTCTTCCATTTTGTTTGTCAAATATCCGTTCATAAATTAATGAATCTTCAGCGATGCGAAACGTATTAATGTATCCATCTTCCGTACCAACAGCAATAAGTGTTTTTTGTTGATTTATATCCATGCACCATGCTGCACCACCAGTAACCGATACCGTATACTTAGCTTGTAATGTTGTTAAATCATACTCAACAATTAAGCCATGGAGACCAGTTGAAAACAGTCTTGAGCCGATCAAAAGAATGCTTTCTATAGAATTATCTGGATCACCAGGAATAACACACTCGATGAATGGAGCATTCTCAACATTCCATAGCTCTATCGAATTATCATTTCTATAAATAGAAAGAATAATATATTAGAATTATTATTATTAAAGCTCGTATAAAATATTGAAATAACAAAAACTAACCTGGCTAGTGCTAATATTTTAGTTTTTGGTTCATAATATAAGCAAGTTGCAGATTTGGGTTGTAGTTCATAAAATCTTACATTATGTATCTTCATTTTATTCATTTTTTTTAAATAAATTTATATAAATAATATTCATAATATAGATTCAAACAAAATCTAAAACACACGTGATATTAAAACAATTCTGATGATAGTAACAGTGCATGGATCTAGTAATAATGTATAGATGTGTCACTAGATTCTCTGAACCTAAATTCGAAGAGCCAATAAGAAAAAAGGAAATATTGTTCTTTTCGTCTTTGTTATTATGATGATCTTTGTTATAGTTAATTATTATTAATAATAATAATAATAATAATTAAATAATATATACATAAAAAAATCGATCGTTATAAACGATATAAACGTATAATCGTATTCGGTATATCTTGCAACACGTTAACCAATGAGAATGAAGTTATAACAGAAAGTGATTATCATTATTCCATTGCACTGAGAAATTCTTAATTTATTGATTTTTGATTATGATTCTTTTGCTCATGAGCTCATAAATTTGAAGTCTCCTTTATAACCTAAAAACAATAAGATATTTTTCTTTTTGTTGAACACATTGCGCATGCGCCTAATTATGATTTGCCATACTTGATAATAGTTACTTTTGGGTAGAATAATATCGGGACTTGCCGGAGCGTGTTGTTCGTTCTGTTACGTTGGAAGACTTATCTACATACATATATTGACAATTAAACTGTGCGCGAAAAGAGTTTTTAATTAATTTCGTTTAGATTATTTTCTAACAAGTTATTAATTTTTCACCGATTGACATCTCGTTTTTATCAAGAAAAGTTATCAAATCCAAATTAAAGAGGTAAATAAACATCAACCATATTTGGCACACGGATGTGCTTTAATATTGATTGTAACTATTTCTAGAAAGTGGTATGACGCATCGAATTGATATATAATTCTTACTGTCATTTTGCTAATTCAAAAGTGCTAGCTATCATTTGATTATCTATTTATCAAATGTTACAAGATTGCACTGTTGCTCAAGGTGTTGCAATGATTAAATGTAACATAGAAATATATCAATGCTAATTAAACTTATCTCATACTATTTCCGGTATTTTTCTAGACTAATCTCATTATTTAACTTAACGATAAAAGTCAATATTTCCCAGAAATATTACCAGAAAATATATACGATCAATGAGATTATATCCCTCGTTTTTATTATTAAATGATAAGTGCATAACTTTCAATACGTACGATTTGTAAATATGCATTTTAATATTTAATGTTTTCATAGTTGTCGTCCTTGTCATTGTTGTGTCGTCATCGACTGTGCTAATAATTGACAGGTTATTATACAACCAAAATCGTGTTTTTCCCGTGCGTTATAATTGAATACATTAAATTGTTGCAATCAAACGTACGTAATACGATAATGGTAGATATTTTCATATGATGACGTATTCTACGTAATGAATGTTATCTATAAAATAAAAGGAACATCGTATTAGAGATAAGATAGATGAGCATTTTTCCAAGAATTTATTAACTGACTTTTTAGGCCATACATACGCATACACACATTAATACATACGCATTAACATTCATATACATATATATACTAACATACTATATAATGTAAGATGATATATTTATATTAGTATATTATTACCTTACATTTTTAAGGTGCGTTGCAGTTTGTATATTATATCTTATAATATCAACTTGTTGTAATCATAGATTATTTTTCAGCTAATACAAGCAAAAAGATGACTACTTGGAACACACCAGGTGCAGGATACTATCCAGGGCAACAAGGTTTTAATTTTTTCTTTACGTTACCAAAATTATATTTCTTGTTTTGCAGTAATTTTATGTATTAATACAGTCATTTTTAACACAGCCCACAGAAAAATTCACTACAATTCTTGCTTCAAGCGGCATTTATCATTTCATCTCATCTTTATAACATTCTTATGTATATATACATACATACAGTAGAACGTTAATTATCCAAATGAATTTGGAGATAAATTTAATTTCAATGGTATATAAAATTAATACGTATCTGATAATAAGGAAAATGCATTATAAAAATGTTGACGTTCTTTGATATTATCAAATTGTGAATTCCATTCATCAATGTATACACAACATTTATTTCATTTTGTTGATGTTTTGCTCATTCCAAGACAATATTTAATGCATTATTCAATGCATATCTAAATTATGTTCTAATTTCAACATTCATTGTATAAATAAAAGCTATGCATATAAACTCACTAAATTCAGACAACATTTAAAACTTGGAGATTTGAAACAGCTATGATTCATGTTTCATAAAATAAAAAATTCTTAAAAACAAGTCTAACGTGACTCATTGTATACTTTGATAAACGAGAGATTCAGATAATCAATGTTCAGATAATCAACATTTCGAATAATCGACGTTCTATTGTATATATCATAAGAATAAAAAAGAATATTTACTGATAATAATAAAAACAAGCAATAATCGTTTCATATTTAGATGGATTCATATTCATTAAGATTAACAAATTTCGTAGAAAAAAGATATCACATTTATTTTTTCTTATTTATAATCTATAAATTATATTTAATATATGCATATAAAATATATATTAGCATCTTACGGCCCTATAAAAGAAAACAATATTATTTTTTAATTAAATTCAAAATATTAATGTAACATATGCTCAAATTTTCTTCATAATGATATAATCGATTTGCAAATATAATTTCCAAAAAGGCATATATAGTATTATTATTATTGATTAATAAATTACATTTATTATCATACATGTATGAATAACATGGTCCTGCAAGAAACATAGATGTTATTCATGTCCATATAAAATGGCACGCAATATAATAATGTTTATCACAATTGTGTAATAATAATAATTATTCACAAYAATGCATGCTTATAGTATAATATAGAGGGTATTATTAACAAAAATACTGTAATATTTTCATTCATGTTTTTTAATGTTTGTTGTATAGGTTTTCCTTATCCGCCACAAAATCCTGGTTATCCACCACCCCAGGAAGGATATCCACCTCCTTATTCGGCTGGAAACATTCCACCACGTATGTTCAAATTTGCTTAATAGATATATTATTAAATAATTATTTTTATTATATTATATTTTATTTTTATTTTATTTTAGAACCAGGATTTATACCACCACCAGGTGTACCTCCACCAGGTGTACCACCTTACGGTCACGTTCCACCTCCTACTGGAACACCATTTGGTGTAACTCCACAACCAGGAATGTATGGGTCAAGCTATGTGGAAGATCCCTTACAAGATGAAATAAAGGGATTTGATTTTAATGATAAAACAATAAGAAATGGATTTATCAGGTATGCATTTAGATAGGTGTTATTGATTGGTATTGTTGATCATGGTAAATGAAATTATTCATTATTTTCTTTTTATTTACAGAAAAGTCTACTCAATTCTAATGACTCAGCTATTGATTACCTTATCATTGATAGCTTTATTTCTGTACCACAAACCAACGCAAAAATGGGCGATGGCACACAGAGAAATATTTTGGATTTGTTTTGTTGCGACCATAGTTTTGATCATTTGTATGGCTTGTTGTACCAGTGTTAGACGTAAAGCTCCGATGAATTTTATCTTTCTTTTCCTATTTACAATAGCTGAGGGAGTCTTATTAGCGATGGCTTCATCCACCTTCAAATCGGAAGAAGTAAGTTGCAATCATTTTGATCATAGAATTAATTTAGGATTGTTAATATATGATTTTTTTGTTTCATAGGTATTAATGGCAGTGGGGATTACAGCAGCTGTTTGTTTGGCGTTAACAATTTTTGCGTTTCAAACGAAATATGATTTCACCAGTTGTCATACTATTTTATTTATAGCTCTGGTCGTCTTAATAATATTCGGTATTATTGCAATGATCTGGCCCGGTAAAACCATGCAACTGATTTATGCATCACTGGGTGCACTTATTTTCTCATTCTATTTAATCTATGATACCCAAATGATAATTGGTGGTAAACATAAATATTCTACTTCTCCTGAGGAGTATATTTTCGCAGCATTGAATTTATATTTAGATGTTATTAATATATTCTTGGATATCCTTACTATTATTGGTGCATCTCGAGATTGAAATTAAGAAGATATCTGGAACATTCCACTGTATTAAAATTCTCTACTAAACAACGCATAGTAGGCTTTTACTTGTTATCATTTTGTTTTTCAACTCTATATTATTTTTCCAAAGAGTAAATAATAAGTGAAAGAAGGGAAAAAAGTGTAAAGCAAATCTTTATTGCTACGGAGAATTAGCTTTTACATGTGTTTCTATTTATGGACAAAAGAAGGAACACACAAAAAAAAGAACAGTTACCATTTGACTTAGTTTTACGTGTAAAGTTTTTGATTTTTTTTTTTTTTTTCAAAATATTTCTTATTTTCTTACTAAAAAAACTAAATGTATCATAATGTTTATTAATCTTTTTTTTTTTTCTTTCTATAAGATTGAATATTGTCGATAATCATTTTATTGATGTAATTTAGTTGTTGTTGTATTCAAATCATTGTTATTATTTCAATCATGTTAGACAAAGTTAAGAAGTCATTTAATATAAAATGTACAAGTAGTTCTCATCTTTAAAAATCAATTCGGTACAATTACCCTCTTGTAAAGTGATAATCTTTACATCTCAGTGATGCTTTTTGTTCCTGACAATGAATATTTCATCTTGAAAATCATAATTAGTAATTATGTATATATTTACTTTGTTTTTCTTTTTTTTTTTGTCCCCATCACCCTTCCAAGTTTCCCATCAATATATCATTCATAAAATCACTGTTGTGCACTTTATGACAATTTAATGAATGATGTAATTGCTGATGGTATTAATACTAATGCTCCTTACTTTATTAATGAAAATATATATGGTATTTAATATTATAAGCATATTATACAACAGTTAAGCAATTATTGAAAAAAAAATTATAGACTTTTGGTCAATATTTATGTATTTATATAGGTACTTTATCAGTATGTTTAATTTTTATTCATGTTTGAATAATAAAAGTTGCAGATACAAATAAATGATTATTTTATTTTCAAAGTATTCAAGTATGGTAATATATTCATTTGTATGTGCAAAATATTTCATAAAAAAGCGTCTAATTCTATTTAATGTATGTATATATTGAAATAATATGATCTATAATACTATAGATAGTAGTTTAAGGATCATAGAACAATAAAAAAATAATTTCAAAATCTTTAATATTTATATTTATAGTAAATTATTCTTACACAAATAGGATAAAAAGCTTTTGGTTTAAAGCTTTTCAATTGAAACTTAAAAAATATCCAATTAAAACTTAATTATAAAGAAGCCATGTGAGAGGTGTGTGCAACGTTTTTGTATGAAAAAAGCGTTCAAGTTTACATAGATAAAAATGTTTGAAATGTATGTTTTAGCATTCATTCTTCTCATACTTCTCATGGTAACAAATTGCAGCTTTATAATAAACAATATGATATAGCTAACTTTGTTCGGTTACTAATGCTTATTTTCGTATGAAAAAATGAAGCCTTATCAATAAAGCTAATAATTATTGATATTCTATATTAGCTTTTTTTTTTTTATTCATGGAGCTTCAGTCTGTATACGTGCATTAAACACACACTTATAAATATATTTACGTATGCATAAAATAGCATTTACAGTCCATCCCCTGAAGCCTGTGGATATAATGAAAGAATTTGATGTTGAAAAATAAAATTGGATAATTTGTTGACAACCCTTCTTTAAATTGTACTCAATGTTATTACCACAATTGACATCCAATTAACTGAATCAGTTTTTGATCAGGCAGTGTCACAAAGAGTTTAATTATGCTATTACGATTTAAATTATATACTATATCTATCCACAAATCTATTTCAAGTGGCACGCGTTTATATATATATATATATTTATATTTATATTTATATATACATATATACATATAGATATATATGTATATACATATACATAAATATAATTTATTATGCGCCATTAAATAAATAATATAAAATTAGCAGCACCGATTGGAATTTCTTTCCACCCTTCTATCGACTGTTACTCTATCCGGAGCATCTTGCGGTTCTTTTCCCTGAATTTTCTCCAAAATAGCCTCCGCTAATTCACTGAATGCACGATCAATATTAATGTCAGCTTTCGCTGATGTTTCCATAAATCTGATACCATGCTCCCTCGCTATCTACAATAAAATAGAATTGTTTATTAGTAACATGATTATTCCAAATATTATTATCAATATCAATTAAATAATATTTCTTACTGCTTCGCCTTTCTCAGTACTAACAACACGTTTATCTTCCATATCACTTTTGTTACCAAGTATCATTTTTTCTACATCTTCATTCGCATGCTGCAAAGAGTATCATAAGTTATAATAAATATATGCAACTGATAATTCATTTTGTGTAAGAAAAATATTGGAAAATAATATTTACCTCGTCAATATTTCTTAACCATTTAACTATATTTTCAAATGTTTTTTCATTTGTAATGTCATAAACAAGCATTATACCCATGGCACCTCTGTAATAGGACGTAGTGATAGTATGAAATCTTTCTTGACCAGCGGTATCCCTAGAAAAATATCCATTTAGAACTATTGTACTAAAATGTTAACATTAACGTTGTATCTACATTGTCTTACCATATCTGTAATTTAATTTTTTTCCCTCTCAACTCGACAGTCTTAATTTTGAAATCAATACCTATAAAAACATCAAAATTATTATCACAATATAAATATAGAATAATATATTTAATAATTAATACAATCGATAAGTATTGACAATCAAATCATAAATCATAATTCGTGGTAATTTAAATCGATAATCTAACCTAAACGATTGTAAGAGAAAGAGAGACAGAGAGAGAGAGAAAGAGAGAGAGAGAGAGAGAGAGAATCGTTTAAAGAACGGTATTGAAAATAAAAAAACTACTGATGATTTATCAAAGATGACAGATAATAATTAATCGTTATTTAAATCTTACCAATTGTAGATATAAAGGTAGTAGAAAAAGCATCGTCAGAAAATCTAAATAGTATACAAGTCTTGCCGACTCCGGAATCACCGATGAGAAGTAATTTGAACAACAGGTCGTACGTCTTTTTCGCCATTTCACACAAAAGCTAAAGTAAATAACTCGTTAAGGATACTTGGAATCAAAATGGGAAATGAAATCTAGGTTGTAGTAGTTAATGAAGGAAGAGGATATCCTGAGGATCGACGAGTATGTTTCGTACATCGAACGCTACGTGCCGATTAGTTAAAATTTCAAGGTCGAATGAGGGCGCGTCTTCTTCTACTTAAAAAGAGTGTCGGATAAACGACAGTAAAACCGGTCACAGGGACTATTATAATATGCCTTGTGTTCTCAGAGAAACTATTAAAAGACGACGCGACGACGCACGACGGTGCAAAGCGCAATGAAAGGCATTGGGGTGACTTCGTACTTTGCGCTCGCGGAACGATGACGAATTCCTTCTTTCCCAAGATCGTACTGAGTTTAATTCTATCTATATCGAGTTTCTAACCGACATATTTCTTCGACGACGACGACAACGACAACGACGACGACGACGACGACGACGATGATGATGATAATGATGACGATGACTATGATGACTATGATGACGACGACAAAGCCGACAAAAACGTGTATGTTTTTTAACGCATTATAAGAGTTCCCCTATCGTTTATACGTTCTATATATATACGTATCTACATATATATATAATATGTATGGCGCGTATAAATACGAATGATGTGTCTTAATGATCGTTCGTTAAAGATCTTTTTGGTTACCACGAGGATGTCACTACCAACTTTTATATAAACTTTTTATCTTTTATTTTATTTTAAAAATGAAACAACGATTTTATCCCGTCTTCCCTTTCCCTTTGTCTTTCTTTTTTCGAATACAAAGCCGGACACAGTGTTCTTTTTTTTTTGTTATTCCGTTCGTTCGATCCACATGTTCGACAATTACATATGTAGGAAAAAGTGTAATAATTACAGACGACTTTTTACTACGCTTTTTCCTTTCTTATATATTTATTTATTTATTTATTTATCTCGAGTCATTCGTTTTAATAGTTAAAGAAACCAATTAAATTTCCCTCTCTTCTATCCCTTCGGAATATTTCTCGTTTATATTTATCGCGATATAATAATCGATTAATACGAAGAATCAAATTCGCGAATAAGTAATGCGATCAAAGAAATTCTATTATGTCTCTTTGTGTTTGAAAATTCATGCTACCTTTATAACAACGGTATTATACTATAGAAACTATCGATTTCGCGTTGAATTTCATCCATTGTCCTGTGTATATATAACCTAGTACGTATAGCAAATAAAATACTACGTCGTATAATCGACAAACACAACGCATATACGAATATCAAAGGACGTAAGAAATACGTATATGAGTTTTTCTTTGCATGTCTTGCTGCTGGTGCTACTCCTGTGCTGCCCTGTCTGTCTGTCTCTCTCTCTCTGTCGTCTACTGTGTATGCATCATAGTGAGGGACAAGGCCATGTACTTCGAAATATCGCCGCCAGGCGGCAGCACCGATGCGTCTTCATTTGTTGTTTCGCAACGCAACCAATATTAGTTTTATCAAGTTTTACGCGGTGATTTCTTGTCGATGGATTTTCAACGTATACGTTAACAAATATCTTCCTTTTTTTTTTTATTGCATACGACGATCCTGCCAGTTTTTTAAAAACTACGTGCAACGAAATAACATGGCTGCAAAAATTAAACATTACGATCCGTTTAGCTCGGCGAGTTCCGAGAGGTAAGTTAGTCAAATGTTTTTTTTTCCTTCTGGAATGGATGTCAACGTTTTATAATAAGTAAATGTTATTTATCTTTGCCTCGTTTTACAGCGAGGATGGAGAAATTCCTTTTGACGATCGTGTATTACTCGATGATGAGATTTGCGACGAAGCGATGACTACGCCGCAATCACCGAGACCACCGTCCACCGGTACGTTCCTTAACTTTTCTCATAATCTCTCTTGTTTTCTTTTTCTTTTTCCTCGATATGATAAAGTTGTTACAATGAATGCATTCTCACACGATCTGTCGTTTAATAGATATTTCATTTATTCTCCCTTGTATGTCTCTTCTTATCATTTGCAACATCTGTGTATGTGTGTGTTATCATAACTATTTTTTAATCAGGTTGCAAAACAGCTTGTTTCAAAGAGATATGGAGCACATGCACATGGCAACAATTCGATGATCATTTATTCCAAACAGATATCTATAACTATTCAAAGAAGACTGCTATTTCTTCTACAAGTACAAGTGTTTCCCTTCCCCATCGTCCCTTTATTTAACCTCTTGCATTACGATTAAGTTATGATACAATTACAAATTTCTGATATTAGTGCAAGAGCTTAATATCCAATTTAAAAATGTTTATTACTTTATATTTATATAAATTATATGAAATTTGTTACAAAAGGTTCACAAAAATCTCCACGTTCAAGAAGACAACGTACTACCAGTATGACACAATCTAGTAAAAAGACATCAGCGGAATCTATCATTAGAAGTAAGAGAGGAACCATTTATACAGCAGGTAGACCACCTTGGTATAATTCTGCAGGACAGCAGGTAGAACCTTTTGTTATTGGTAAGAAAGTTTTCTTTTAATAGAATTTTGTAGTCTTTATAGAATTAAGCTAAAAGTGATAATTGTGTTTTAGGAATCTGTGGAGGTAGTGCTTCGGGAAAAACTACAGTAGCTACAAAAATAATAGAATCATTGAGCGTTCAATGGGTAACTCTCCTCAGTATGGATTCATTTTACAAAGTATACAAGCATAATTTACTATATTTACTTTTAATAGAAAAAATTCAATTATTATACAATATTTTTATTGTGATTGTAGGTATTAAATGAAAAACAGCATGAAATGGCAGCATGCAACGAATATAACTTTGATCATCCAGACGCTTTTGATATGGAACTTCTCAAGACTACGTTGCAACGATTAAAAGAAGGAAGAATGGTGGAAGTTCCTATTTATAATTTTGTAACTCATAGTAGAGAGAGTAGGACTGTAAGTTGATAAATTGAACTACTATACATCATTATTCAATGCTACTTTCTATAATATAACATACTTATCGTTTTATTTTCTTTTATTTTTTTTTTTTTTGGAAGAAAACAATGTATGGCGCCAACGTCATTATTTTTGAGGGAATATTTACCTTTTATAATGTGGATGTATTAAAGGTAAGTAATTTAATGTGTTAAATGTTGAAATAGACAATGTAAATCTGTATACTTTATGTCTAATATTTTATTTCAATGATTATTTTATAGATGTGTGATATGAAAGTATTTGTTGATACTGATGCTGATGTACGACTTGCACGAAGATTGCGTAGAGATATATTGCAAAGAGGAAGAGATTTGGATGGTGTCTTAAAACAATATTGTACTATGGTACAACCAGCCTTTTATTATTATATAGCACCACTTATGGTCCACGCTGATATTATTGTACCTCGTGGTGGAGAGAACGAAGTTGCTATTGAACTTATTGTACAACACGTGCATACACAATTACAATTGGTATGTATTTCTATATATTGTTATTTTATATAAGCATCAAAATATCTTTAAGCATACTTATATGTTTTTATTTATATTTTAGAGAGGATTTAAACTTCGAGAACAATTAGCCCATTCTTACATTGGTCAACCATTGCCTACATCTTTGTATTTACTTCCTGATACACCTCAAATCAAAGGCCTACATACGTTCATAAGAAACAAGGATACCTACAGAGATGAGTTTATATTTTATTCGAAACGTTTGATACGTCTTGTGATAGAATATGCATTGTCTCTCTTACCATTTGAGGTAAGTATAAAAGAAAAATTATCTCTACAATGATACAGGAAAAAGAATGAGAAAATAGAAAAATTATTTGTTTAATTGATTTAATAATAAAGGAAATTACGGTGGAGACACCACAAGGAATACCTTATCATGGAAAGCGAGGTGCGACAGACAAAATTTGTGGTGTATCTATTTTGCGTGCTGGAGAAACAATGGAACAGGCTGTTCGAGATGTATGTAAGGATATAAGAATAGGAAAAATTCTTATACAAACGAATCAACAGACTGGTGAACCTGAGGTATTTATTATTTCAATTATTATATTTATCAATGATAATATAATCATTTATACACACACACACACAATTCTTCTTTCTTAGCTCTATTATTTGCGTCTTCCAAAAGATATAAAGGATTATAGGGTTATATTAATGGATGCCACTGTAGCAACTGGTGCTGCTGCTATGATGGCTATTAGAATTCTTCTCGATCATGATGTAGCAGAGGAAAATGTTTTATTGGTATCTTTACTTATGGCGGAATCAGGTGTTCATTCTATCGCTTATGCTTTTCCAAAAGTGAAAATAGTTACGTCCGCTTTGGATCCAGAGATAAATAATAAATTTTATGTATTACCAGGTATTGGTAATTTCGGTGACAGATATTTTGGCACTGAACCATCTTCCTTAGATGATTAACGAATTTTATATAATTAGAAATAATCATTTGTAGTCTTATTTGTTTCTTGCCTTTACTATTGTGATACTGTAAACAACAATCCTTTCTTGTACCTTTAGTATAGATTATTATTTAAGTTTTTAATTTCTCCCCGTTCGGAGAGTTGTACAGTAATATGTCCAAAAAATCTTGTTAAGTGATTTCTGCGTCGAAGATAAGTTTGTAATAAATTCTATTACATTGGTATATTATATTTTGTAATATACGTATATGTGCATATATATTTATTTATTATATTAAATTGTTTACAAAGGTGTTGTACCAACATTACCAGCTTCAGCAGATGCACCAGTACCGTGTAATTGTCTGTAACCTCTGGCACTGGCTTGACGCGATCTGCGCCAGATATCTAAATTATTGTTTGCAGTATTACTACTTGGTTGACCCAAAAGATAAGTAATCAATCTATCAAGAGCTTCCAGGTCTTTGTTTGTACTTGCAGAATTTGACAAATCGTTTGGTGATGTATCATGATTGCTCGTAGCACGAGTAATTATTTCATCACTTGTTCTATTATTTCCTTTATTGGCACCAACGTGCGTAGGAAAACCAAATTTCGGAGTAATCTATGAAAGAAATTTTTTATCATTATGCTTTCATTGTACGGATAATTGAACAACGAGTATATTGTTACTGCATTAAATAATTATGACATGTTTATAATAATGTTTCCAATTATTATAAACAACTTTACTAGATAAAGAGTATAGCAATTAAATTTTGCCATATAATGGATAAGAATATTGATAAAAAGTTATTATAATGTACTGAACAAATTGTTAGATAATAGTCATAGTATCGAACGGGTTAATTATGTTCTAAGTAAATTTCAAATATTTACCTCTTCATGTCCAAGCCCATAACTCATTCTTTGAACTTTTCTAAAGGTGTCATCATCGATCGCCTCGCGTACGGCTTCGTTTAAAGTTCGTTCTAATTCCTTTTGTTTAGTTTTACTCAACCCGTCGTAATAGCTGTTGCATCATTATTCGTTCATGTAGTAATATATCATGTGTCATTTAATTACGCGCTTACTCACCTTGAATCCAGTGAACTATGATCTCTGGAAGTATTTTTATCGCGAACCAAACGTATATCATGTTCCCAAAATCGTCTTAATTCTGGAGTTGAAGTATATGGTGCGGCTACTTCTTTAATCTAGAATAACACGAGATAAAAGAAATTTCACGATTGAATAATACGAAGAGATATAGATTTTTAAATATATTACCTTGAGAACCATTATTGCAGTTATGAATATACACATTACGTTGATAAATGTCAAACATGCACTGATAATTCCATTGCAAAAGAATTCTACCGGTAAATAATCGGTATAAACGTATACATAAGAACTGTTAAAATCCGTATAAGATTCTCCTTTTATATGTGGCATTTTGATCGGTCGATATATCAACCAGATGCATCCAAGAGCCCAAAATAAACCCTATATAAATGGTTATTGATATTTTGTTATTTTTTTTTTCTCTCATTTTAATAATATTGTATGAAACTTACGCAATTAACAACCGGTGGTAACAACGAAGCAGATATAGCAACACCGATTAAAGGACCATTACTACCTTGCAACAATGCAACAGCTACACCTGTACCAGAAGGAAGTGCCCACAGTACACCCATCCAAAGGGATCTATAATTACCTCTGTCAACAAATTTTCGTAATTTAGTTTAAATTGTTTGTTTTTCTTGTCATTCTATAGTTAGTTTATTTTATTTTCTAACAAAGTAAGCTCACCTGCCTTTCATTTCATCGGTTGGCCAATCATTGTAACCCCAAGGCATTTCTGTTGTGCCAAGGATAAGGCCAAATATAAATCCAAAAAGTATAGACAAGAATATACCTAACAAGAGACTCTTCAATCCACCCAATTGAAGATTTCTGTCTGCTATTATAGTGCCGAACGTCAAAGACATAACCGGTCCCTTTTTATTTATTTAAATGAAGAAGAAAAAAAAAAACGAAATATATTTATTTTGCGTGTTCATCAAATAACGAAAAATATTTCATTTCTTACCATTAAAGGTGATACCAACATGGCTGCTACCACATTGGTTGCACTGTTTTCAACTAGACCCAATGCAGCTAAACAACTAAAGAATTTTTTTCTTTTTTTTTTTAATCATATTAGAAAAAAAAATATTCATTGTATTAAATAATTCTTACTCGGCCGTTAGTACCAATAGAACGTAATCAAAAGTAAGGTCACCACCACTTCTAACACCATCCACCACTTGTTTAACTGTCAATTTGGAACGTATAGAATCCACGAAATCAGTCCAAGCATCCTTCCTATCCTGAGCTTCTCTTTTCCTAAAATTCAAGCATGCTACAACGGTAACAGAGGAATTCATTCACTCGCATATTCGAAATTACCTGCGTGCTATGTCATCCTTGATCGCTGCAGATCCAATACTTTTAGATCCCACACTACTGTAGGTACATTGTGTCGGTATTACACTAAAAATAATATTTTTTTTTATCTATACAAATATTCTTTCTTTTTTTTTTTGTTTTTTTTATTTATTTATATTTTACACGTGTTACCTGACGATAGAATTCATTTTAACTCCAATACCCATTTCGGTGAGACAATGTATACAATTTTCGCATGGTTCACCAGCAGGAACTGGAAATATTACCTAATTCGACAGACAGACAAATAGAAGTACAGTAGTATCGTATAATACAGTTAGTATAGTTTTACAGAAAATATGTAGAAAATAAAACAAAACAAAAAAATTAATGCAAAATTAATTTTTATATTTGAGGAAATTACTGTATTATATTATACAACTCGTTGTATGAGGTAATTACATTATTTAATTGGTAATAATAATTTTTATTATATATAGATACAATTAAAAATAAATAAAAAATATTAGTATTATTTTACCTTACCTCGTAATACATGTTCTCTTTGTCTTTGCACCAAACAACGTGTTCTACTTTGAGTTTTTTCAGCAATTCGGTCAACACCTGTTAGAAGACAATTCATAATTATAAATAAAATAAAAATCTATAATTATAAATAAATGATTTATGTATTATAAATAAACTTTTGAAATTGACCGTTTCCATGGAAACGAAGATGGGTGTCTTAGAACGAAGAGCTGCACGTGCACGTGAATAATTTCGCGATGAAACGTCCAAATCCGTATCATCGTCACCAACAAGGGCTGTTTCATTTTCCAGATCATCGTCCAACGTAAGAAGTTGCGCTTTAGATTTTAATTCCTTCAATCGTAAATCAACTTTAGGCCCAATTATAGCTGGACTTAATTTTTCTGGTTTTTTCGGACTTTTCACTGGTATACCAAAAACTAATTCGTGTTCGTAACTCAAAGTTGGAATGCATACTAAAAAAACAACACCACCAGGCATTTTGATATCCTGTTGGATGATCGTACACGCGACTACGACTAGAAATTATAAATCTGTTATCATGAAACATGCAGAGAGTTATTTATCAGATGTAGCAGGTACAAACTTAATTAGCTTAACGTTAATAGTTTTGTTATTTGAATCTTAACACATTGGTTATTACAGTCTGGTTAAAAATATCGTACCTATGATATATATATTTTTATTTTATTTTTTTTTTTTTTGCAATCGTTTTACACGATATCATAATAATTGAAATATAGTGTATTGTAAATTAATACAAAATTTAAGAATTTGATTTAAAAGAAAAAAAAAAAACTTTTTAAAATAAACTTATATACGCTTGTTAAGATTAATCTATGATGTATTGTTAAAAAATGATAACCAAAGTGATTAATTTTTAAATGATTAAAGTTATTATTTCATCAAGTTATTTAATATTTAATTTAATTAAATGCAAAATGTGTGAATAAATTTCAAATTTTCATATTTTGATTTTCGAAAAGAGGATAGGAAGGTGTAAGAAAGGTATTGTTCATTTGCACGGACACATATTTACGAAATAAACATTTATTTTATTTTTTTCAATTAACAAATCAACAGCGTACAGACTTAACGTCTAAAGAGACTAGACTTTTGACGTTCTCGCTTTTGTATTTGTGGTTCCTTTTTTTCTTCTTTTCTTTTTTTTTTTTAAATTTCTAAAAAGAACTATATAGAGGCCGCGAGGAATCATTTATCGTGCGAGGGGAAGTCCTGAATTTCGTTTTTCTATGAATGATAGATTCAATGAAAAATTTGACTAAATGTATTTATAATTAGTCTGTTGATTTAGCGAATAATAATAATAATAATAATAATAATAATAATAATATAAGCGGCACACGTTTGTTGTTTTGTGTTGAATCTAAAAAGTTTCACACGATACGCAAGAGATAAACGCCATCGTCGGCATTTAAAATACACGACGTCAATTCAAATATTTCTTATTATTGCGATTAATATTTTTTATATTATAATATTATATTATTTATCCTCTTTTTAATAAAAGGATTCAATTTGTGGATGATATTAAAGGATGATGAACTTAGCACGAACGTTAATATATATATATATATATATATTTGATATAAATCAGATATCCAATTGTTTCTAAATCGCGAACTCTCTTAATTAATTATTAAACTAATAGTAAACACATTTTTTTATTCTTCATTTTTATTTCTCACAAATTTCATATATTTTCTCACTCGACGCATATTATATTAAATGGTATGCTAAAATAAAATGAGAGAAATCAATATGAATATAATTCAATTCCGTATTAATCAATCATCGTTTAAATTATCGTAATAATTTGTCTCAATTCTTTCATCCATTTTGTTAAATCCATTAAAATAATTCGAACGAAATTATTCGAGGGACATTGACAAATCCCCCCTCGCTCGTTTTTCTAACAATTTTTTAACAGCATTTTTTTCTTTTATTTCTTTTTTCTTTTTTTTCTTTTTTTCTTATCATCTTTCATATCATGATAATAATCGTATCGAATAAAACGACAGCTTTCTTTATTTATTCTTCTATCTATATTATACTTTGATTCCTAAGAATTATTTTGTAATTCATTTTTGTTTGTTTGTTTTTTATTATTTACAATCAAACGTACACGCATATATACACACAATTGCACACACAAATCATACACACACACACATATATATATATATACACACACACACGACATTATACACGATATATTATTCCTTCGTGCATAAGTAGTACTTATTTATTTATTTATTAATTTTATTTTTTTGTTTTATTTTTTATTATTTACTTACATAATTCACGCCACGGCTAAATGCCCAACTTCACTTACGAGGTTTTCACGGTTATTTCTCTCACTAACAAGTTTAATCGTTTAAGGCCATTTACACGAGGAGATAAACGAAGTTTTTTTCTCGATTTCTTATTTTTTTCTTTTTTCTTTTCTTTCCTGTAACAACAGTAGCAACAACAGCAGCAGCAGCAGCAACAGCAGCAGCAGCAGCAGCAGCAGTGCAGAATTGCGAAAGAATCTTTTATTTTGTACAAGAGACCCTTCCTTTTCTCCTTTTATAATTTTATCCTTTTGTAGGTTGATCTTAATCGATCAATATACGATTTATAAGATCACACAAACCCGATGAATTTTAATGCACAATTTTCTTGCACTTGTGGAAGATCAGTAGAAGATTTATTATTATTATTCTCTCCTAAGTTTCACATATTTTGTTGTTGTTGAAACTTTCGTACATCATCGTCATTTGAAAGAGAACATTTTCATCTTTTCAAAATAAACCATTATTTTAAACAAAAATCTCATATAGAAGAAAGTTTATCGAATAAAATTCAATTGCCTTGTTTTTCTTTCTTCGAAGTTTGATAGGTGCGCGCGTAGTAAGTTTCTTTAATTAAATAAATTCTCTTGAAATTATTGTGCTATTATAGATGAATATCAAAATCATATTTTTCTTTTTATAACGGTGTACTTGGTCGTCGTAAAAGAGACGAAAATAATGAACGAGGACGTGCTTGTTGTCGTTTCCAAGGACGACGTAAACAAGGACGATGCACATCCTCGTAAGACGAGGCCTATTTACGAGGATTCCTTAAAGGTCAAGCTCTCTCTTCTTCTTCATCGATTTCCTCCGAAGATTCCGAAGACGACGTTATCAGGGCCGTAGATAAACTTGGTAGTTGAGCCGGGCTTAGGTACGAAGACATTCTTATTCTTTGTGGATTCCAACATTCTGGAAGGGAACGCGAACCATCCTCGTTTCTTTCCAATGATTTTTCCATTGTACCCAATTCCATCATCGATACTCTCCGGTGTACCGAACTTTTGTTGCTGCTACTGTCTGCGAGAGATCATTCGTAAGAGAGAAAAAGAAACAAAGGAAAATACAAAAATTATATTTTAATCCCCAAAAAAAAAAAAAAAAGCTAATGGAAAAAATATTAAAGTCTTGCAAAGAGGGGYGTGAAAGATTAAATGCAAAATAATAATAATAATTACAAATTGAGATATTATTTTTGTTAAAATTGATTATAAGATATGTTAATGATATGATGACTCCTTTATCTGACTGCCTACCTTTGCCTAATAATAGTCCCTTTGCTCGAACGTATTAACTTTTCGATTCCTCTGTTTTACCTGTGTTTCTCGTGGGAGTGGAAAACTCTTCCATCCCGGTAACCGTGTACTCGTCGCACTCGTCAACAGTTTCCTGACGATCGATGTGATCCGGCGTACCAACGCTCTCGCGTCGAAACAGACCAATCACGGATTGTACTTTTGGTTGTTTTATTGTACCTTCGAGGATCAAGTTGTTTCCTTTTTTTTTCTCGTTTATTTTACACAAATGTTAAATAAGGCATTTTCTATACTTGTTGAAACATGTTTACGGTGATATGTGCATCGAAACTTAGGTTTTATAAAATCAACACACAGGTTTTTACTTTTCTTTCGAATTATCGATTTACGAATCGATGCAAATGTTTCATATCGGTGCCAAATAACACATATATATATATATGTATTGCAATATATAACGTGAAACATAGAAATCGATGCATGCATGCCATGCCACCCACCATCTCCTCCCAACTTTCGTCAAATCTTCTTTGATTTCGCGCACGCGCGCGGTTTGATTTTACATTACCAAATTTGTTTTATACTTTTTTCAATTTATTATGATACCAACTTTGAAGCATGTACTTTATTTTTCCTTAATGAATATTTTTAATATTTTATATTTATATATAATAGAGAATTGTGCAACATATATCGTGAAATTTAGGAATTGGTGCATACATCGATATTTAGGTTTCATAAAAATCAATCTTTTTTCATTTTATCTCATGAAAGTTTTTACTCTTATGAAATTAATTCACTGACACTGAACTACATACATTCGTGACATTTATGTATGTCATGAAACTTAGAAATCGATGCATATTTTAACATGTATAGGGTGCCTTTGAGAAAAGGCACTTCATTTTATTGAAAAAAAAAAAAAAAAAACTATACGTACCAAGCAAGGTGGCAGAAGGTGAACTGTAAGTAAGAAACTCATTTTGTTTCAAAGGATGTCCTGATTCATAGTCGTCATCCCGTTTCCAAGGCAACACGGTTTCCTGACGATCTATGTGATCAGGTGTACCAACGCTTTCACGTCGAAACAATCCAATCACTGATTGTACTTTTGGTTGTTCTATGGCACCTTTAGAAAATTATCAAAATTTTGGTTTGTTTTTCTATTAGTTATGTTAAAAAAGAATATTTAAGAAATGAATAAAATAATTGTACCTAAGAAAGTAGCTGAAGGTGAACTGTAAGGAAGGTATTCCTTATTCGCACACCAAGCAGGAAACTCGTTTTGTTTCAATGGATGACCGGAATCATAATCGTCCTCACGTTTCCATGGTAAAACCGTTTCCGTTGCCGTTGGGGTTGTTACTCTATAACTTTCACCTGTTGAAACCAATAAAAATTGTTTTTTATTAAATATTTTTGAAGTTACAACTTCTTTAGAATGGGGGTGATTTGAAAACGGATGCGTGTGCGATTTGAAAATGAATTTTTACGACTATTTTTTAGATGTCTAACATTGAATAATTTAAATCTTTAAAAATTTACTTTTTCACGTAAGATATTAAATATTATTCTAAAAATATGCATAACTAATTATACAATTAAAATCAAATTTTTATCATTATTTATAAAAATGCGCGCCTGTAGTTATGCAACCGTCCAGACACACTTGGAAAATGTTGCTTGCGAGCGCCATCTGTTGAACGGAATTTTTTTCTGTCCGAAAGATAGGCAACCCGTAATACATACGTGTATGAACACTGAAAAAAAATGGGCTGAAAAAAAATTCCATCTCAGAAGATGGCGCTTGCACGCAACATTTTCAAAGTGTGTCTGGAGAGTTGCATCCTTACAGGCGCACATTTTTCTAATTATTAAATAAATAATTAGAAAAATAAATATAATATTATAATAATATTTTTTAATGAATTATCTTACTCCTTATACTATGCACTCGTCTTATTCTCTCGAAATTTACTTTTTTTGAAGGTTTAACTTCTAATTTGTTTGTATTAATATTATTTTGTTTATTTTTTCTTTTTCAGATTACTTACCATCACGGGCAAACCTCAAGTCGGCATCTTCGGTGTTTATGGTGTCCATGGACGTAGTAGCGGTTGCGTGATGGCCGTCTGGATTAACATTGGAAGAATCTAACAGGGTAACGAAGTCAACGATCGAAAGAAAACGTCGAAAGGTAAGATTTAAAAAATAATCATTTCTATGAATGAACAGGAACAAGGATATTTTTACCGGAAGTACGTGCAGTAAAAGTTATTGCAGAATCCCAATCTTCTTTGCTCGATGGTTTCGAATTATCCCCGTTTTCCAGTTCGTATAACACGCCGTTCATGTAGTCTGGTTAAAAACAAGAAAAAAGAATATTACGCGAACAATCGGAAATTATTTCTAGGAAAATTGCTTTATCGATTATTTTATACGCACCTTGGGTGAATAATTTGGTCGAACCGTTTTGTTGGAATTCCGGGAAACTCACGTGATTCTGCTTACCGTCCTGTACGAAAATTACAAACAAAGAGAGAGAGAGAGAGAGAGAGAGAGAGAGAGAGAAAGAAAAAGGATCGTGATAGGTAGACGCGTAAAAAAAAAAAAATGGTAAACGTTAAAACTCATAATATAAAAAGTAATTTGTTTTAACGTTAGATTTACAGATCTTTTGTTCATTTTTGTTTTTTTCTCTAACCTTTAGTAACTTCTTGCTGCGTTTGTGACGATGTTTGTGCTCTCCCATCATACGTCGAATATTCATGTGCATTTTATAATTGACTTGGGTAGATAGATCCCGATCGTTGACAGCGTGTCTACTGTAACTCAATCGTCGGTGCTGCGACGGTAATGTTTTACACTTTAATTAAAATCAGTTATCAGTTCTTAGATTTCTACCCTACTGCCTTGCAAAAAGCGGTTCTTTCGTTAAATGTTTTTGTATTATTTTTTTTATTTTTTTAAATTTTGTCTCTATATTATATTTCGCTATCGTTCGCGAGCGCGCCTTTCTTTTTCACGAGGCTCACCCGTTTGTAAGGTTTGCAGAGTTCTTCAGCCAGTAGATGATGTATCCTAGCGTCTGTCAAATCTTTCTTCGATGGATTGTACTCGAGTTCCTGGAGATCGATATTCCAACCGGTTTCGAGTTGACTGCAACTCGGACTGCAATGAAGAAAACAATGAGATTGCAGCTTTATGATTTTACCACCCTATTGTTTTTTTTATTTTTATTTTTTTATTACAAGATCGATACTACTAGCATATTCAACCTCTTGCTATTGATTCGATTATGGTATAATAATACACAAACAAATAAGATTAATATTATTACATTTACTATTATATCTATCATACGTGAATTCATTCATTATTATTCTTCTTATTTTATTTGATGTTTTATGTAATTTATTTGTTTTCTCTTTCCCTTTTTAATATTCCTTTTTTAAATAATTCATTTACCTTCCATTGAATTGTCCTGTATTGCTGTAATTTCTAAATATGGCTGACATACTCTCGGTACCACTGATATTACCAATAGTCGAAGCATTTCTTCTTATATAATCCATGGCATCTTTCATGGCTAATTTCGAATAGGTTTCCAAGATCTTTGGTTCGGCACCATAATGATTTCGCAATAGATACGGCCGTATGAATTTGTTGTCGAAACGTTTGAATCTATTACGAGAAATTTTGTATTTGAATTTTTATTATTATTATTATTATTTTTTTTTTTAAAGTGTTGAAAGATTAATTGTAAAAATAATAATAATAATAATAATAATAATAAGAAGAAGAAGAAGAAGAAGAAGAAAGATTAACGTGTTTCCTTAGAATAGAAATGAAAAAAAAAATAAAATAAAAAGAAAAGAAAGCAAATTGTATTTGGATACCGTGCCACGCCACTTTCAAAAATAACTCGGCTCGTGTGCGTTAGTATAATATTATTCGTATAGTAATCGATTTATACATTTATTTTTCTGTATTTTTTTATTTCTTACTTATCTCTCACGTGGTAATTGCCATGTTTTCCTAAGATGTCCTCAATTCCAGCCATTACGTGATCCATTATCTGAATACAAAAATAATACAAAAATATGTCGATAAATACGATCAAAAGTATTATAAATTTGGTCAACTCCTTCTTCAATCGAATTAACCTACTAGGGGATGAAATAATATTTGCTCATGGATAAATGCAGTTTATTTTATTTTTTATTTTTTANTTTTATTTCTTACTTATCTCTCACGTGGTAATTGCCATGTTTTCCTAAGATGTCCTCAATTCCAGCCATTACGTGATCCATTATCTGAATACAAATAAAAAAAAAAAAAAAAAAAAAAAAAACAATAAAACAATTTATATCATTGGTCAACTCCTTCTTCAATCGAATTAACCTACTAGGGGATGAAATAATATTTGCTCATGGATAAATGCAGTTTATTTTATTTTTTATTTTTTATGCAATTAATGAACTTGACTCACGAATATTACGAATGTTAACAAAGAAAGAATAATTTTTGTTATCTAGAAGGACGATCAACAACGTTTCCTCGACTTTTGCGTGATAATTTGTTCAAGGTTAAAGAAACATCGATCAATGGTGGTCTAGAAAGCCACCCTCTCAACCCTCACCCCATTTCGAGTAACATTGAAATTTCTTTAGATAATATCGTATTTCAAGGAAACGTTCAACATCGAATATAGAAGTATAAAGGTAAAGTGATGAGTATTTTTTTGTTCTCACCCTTTCATGAATCCTTTCGTTCATCGTAGGCTTTCTTTTCTCAGCTCTTTTCACATTGAGTATTCTAACCAGTGGTTTAATAGTGATTCCCTTAAAAAATGTATGATCAAGAAAATACAAATTGTAATAATAATAATAATAATAATGATAATAATCGTTATTAAAATAAAAATAATAAAAAAATATATAGTAAATAAAATTATATATAATAAAAATAAATATATGTATATATATTTCATATATAGAATAATAATATAATAATTAAAATTACTATATTAAATTATAATTCAAGTATATATAATAATATTATATAATTTATATTATATATATTATTTTATTTTATATTATTTTACAAATGAAAAAAATCAAATAACTTTCGTTGAATGTATGATATATATATATATATATATATAGGTGAATAATAATAAATTTACCTGTATGAAAACGGTGAAATAAATAACAGCAATAGTGGTAGTAACGAACATTGGTTGTAACGCTACGTGTTTTGGATCAATTAACAAGACAAGGGCAAACGCCACTGCACCCCTTAAACCTCCATAGGACATGACGAATTTCTCCACCTTGTCCAGTTTATGCAGACGAAATTGATTGGCCAATGCAGTCAAGACAATCACTCCTAATGATCAACGATAGTCCTCGTTGATTGACAATTTATTATTAATTCTTTTTTTTTTCTAAATCGATATAACAACCTAACACTTTTCTTTCTTCTAAACTATATTCATTATTTTTTTTTTATTATATTAATTATAATAACAATAATTTTTTTAACGCGTTTAATCTTATTAGCTAACAAAAACGAATGAACGGTGATAAAACTTTAAATCTCAAATCGGTTTAAAATATTCCACTTTGTTACATCAGAAAATTGTGTAAGTGGTCGTCTGGCGGTGTTACTTTGACAAAACTGTTATGTAAAAGCAGCCGATTATGGATTAGAATTTCCGAACAATCGAGCCTGCATTGTGTTAAGTTATTGTTCAAATGGGAAGCCGTAAACACGTGACATTAAGCCAAGTGACATAACCGTTAAGTCGAGAAAAGAAATGTAATAAAATGTCGTGTTTCGTAATACCCATCACTTTCATCCCTTTTTCCACTTTTATCTGTCATTCTCATTCTCTCATTCTCTCATTCTCTTTCTCTTTCTCTCTCTCTCTCTCTCTCTCTTTTGATATTATGCATTATTCTTTTTTTAGCTTACCTATCGTTTCTATAAATGTTAGAGAGAGTTAACACACACACACATACACACGTGTGTCAAGTCTTTGTTCCGCGGAATTTCTTTTTTCAAATTGAATTTCAGCATGGTTGATTATTGTTGCAACGTATATAAAAAAAAAAAAAAAAAAAAGAGAAACAACATACAACAAGATCTACTCGATTGATTTTCTTTTATAACACCAATATCATGGACAAGTGACTTTAAAAACTAACGTCATACCTGGCTTGTTGCTTGCTTGCTTGCTTACTTGTATTTAAAAAGCCTTCTTT